GTAAGCCTTTCGGGGGCGATTAGGAACAAAAAAAAAAAAAAAGACCCTGATTTTTTTGGTCATAATCAGATATATATATTATTCATATTTTTTTTTACTTTTCATAAAAAGAACTTCTAAATTTAACAAAAAATAATAATGAGTCCATCACCAATGTTAAATCAAACTTTTTTTTTTTACAATTATTTTTTTGTAAAAATACAATCTAAGATAGCTACCATTCCTTTCAGATATGTTTCCCTTGTTTAAAAATGTAGGAATATGAATAAACCATGAATTTGCAGTTTAGCAGTAGCCAAATTTGCACCTAGAAGTTTGAAGGATTTTAGATTATCTATGCATTAATGTCACGTCATTCCAAAATATAACAATTGAGTTATTTGTTTTTTTACAAAAGAGACTTTAGCATCTGGAATTGTGACCCACACTAAGTTATTTTTTTAGACATCTAAAACTAGGCTTAAAATCATAATGCTTTCGTTTAACACTAAACGATAACGTAGGGACGGGGACATTGTACTCCAAAAGGCATACGACAGCACTGATCATAGGTTAGGGGGAACACAAACAAAACAAATATATATTTCACAATGCTTATTTGAAAATCTGATTTTTTAATTAAAAAATTTTTTTTGAAGAACTTATAAAATTGGTTTGTCCGACAGGAAAAAATGGCCAAATCGCCAACCCCAGTAATATAAAATGAAAGTTTTCAATAACCCACTTACCAGACATTTTCTCAGGTAGGGTTTTCAAAAAAAACAACAACGTAATTTAATATGTAGGCCGAAGATTTATTGACATAACCTAGTCATACAGTTTAAAGCTGAAGCGAAATTCTAAGAGTCAAATATAGATCACTAGGGCTTAACCAGGTGAAGTTTTTTTTATTTATTTGACACTAACTCTTGGGCATTTGGAGAAGACAACACCCGGGAGGTGGAAATGATACACCCGGGAGGTGGAAATGATACACCGGGGAGGTGGAAATGATACACCCGGGAGGTGGAAATGATACACCCGGGAGGTGGAAATGATACACCCGGGAGGTGGAAATGATACACCCGGGAGGTCGAAATGAAACACCCGGGAGGTCGAAATGATACACCCGGGAGGTGGAAATGATACACCCGGGAGGTGGAAATGATACACCCGGGAGGTGGAAATGATACACCCGGGAGGTGGAAATGAAACACCCGGGAGGTGGAAATGATACACCCGGGAGGTGGAAATGATACACCCGGGAGGTGGAAATGATACACCTGGGAGGTGGAAATGATACACCCGGGAGGTCGAAATGAAACACCCAGGAGGTCGAAGTGATACACCCGGGAGGTGGAAATGATACACCCGGGAGGTCGAAATGATACACCCAGGAGGTGGAAATGAAACACCCGGGAGGTGGAAATGAAACACCCGGGAGGTAGAAATGAAACACCCGGGAGGTGGAAATGATACACCCGGGAGGTGGAAATGATACACCCGGGAGGTCGAAATGAAACACCCGGGAGGTGGAAATGAAACACCCGGGAGGTGGAAATGAAACACCCGGGAGGTGGAAATGAAACATCCGGGAGGTGGAAATGATACACCCGGGAGGTGGAAATGATACACCCGGGAGGTGGAAATGATACACCCGGGAGGTGGAAATGATACACCCGGGAGGTGGAAATGATACACCCGGGAGGTGGAAATGATACACCTGGGAGGTGGAAATGAAACACCCGGGAGGTGGAAATGATACAGCAAAGGAGTTAACATCTCCTTGTCTATGATATTTACCGGCCTTGAAGCAATAGTCGAACAGGCAGTCCTACACTCTAACCTGTCGGTCTTTAATCAATAGTCCTGCAGGCAGTCTCGCAGACAGTTTTGCATAATGTACTACACCACACCCATGGCTTTTTGTAGATTGTTATAATATAATTCTTTTATTTTACTGAGTTTAACCGTCACGCATGACGCTCACTGCTTCAAAGATGTTTTTTTTTCCACAGTAATTTTAATTTAAAAAAATGTTGAGAAGGCGTAGGGCTGGTTTTGAAAAGGAAGCAGCCACACCACAACCTATAAATATATATAGGATATACTCGTTTTTATATTTGTTAAAAAAGTCATTTTAAGATGTCCTGGTTAAAATAAAATTAAAATCATATTTTTTGTTGAGTTCTTAGCTTTAGTTAAAAAGGCTCATGAAGATATTCTAAAATTATCTAGCATAGTAATTGTATTTTTAATATTGGACACTTTTAAAATGTGTTTGATATTGTAGACTAGTATGTTAACAAAAAAGGAATTAGCTTTTTGAAGTGCATCCTACTGTTCTAAATAAAAGTTGTTTTTTAATTATTTAAAAATAAAATATTATTTGTATAAATTCTCGAGGCTAAATTATAACGCTTTTAACAGTTTAAAGCCATTATTATGGAAGCCAAGCTGGAGGAAACTTACCGTATTGCCCAGGCCCTGACATTGTTTGTGTTTAATGACACGGCCTACAATCTCATGCCTTCCTATAAAAAGTTAACTTTGTATGACAAAACTACACCCAATAACCTTGGCGCCAAAGAGTATGTCAACTCTTTTACACGTAAGTGCAGCCAAAATCTTCCCTTCTATTAATTTTAAAGATATATTCTTGTATTCAATTCTTTAATTATTTTTTTTGCACAAAATCTTGTAACATTTAATATAAATAAACATTAGACCTAACATTACCTTTAAATTATCATCAATTGCATTTTATTATTGAACTAACGATAAAAAAGTAATTGTTGTCTACAAACTAAGATATATATGTTTTGAATTTGAATAGGGGTGTAATGCTTACTCTAAAGATAATCGCGCTTCACAAGGTTGTCTCGCGTACCAACATTTTATTTTAACTGATGAAGACGGCTTCTAAAGAAGAAATAACTGTGCATTCTTATAATGCAGCACTGCTTTAAAGTTCTATATATATGTTTCTCTCCCTCTCTATATATATCTATCTATCTTTCTCTCTTTCTACGTCCCTCTTTTCTTCTTTTTTTTTTGTTCTAAAAGGGATTATAGTAGTGGGGCATTAATTTAATAATCTCTTAAATTTTTTTTTGTTTCTCTACCCTTTCCTCTCTCTCTCTTTCTCTTTCACTGTCTACCCTTCTCTTTCCTCTCCCTCTTCTATCTCCACTCTCCATCTCCCCTCTTTCCCACTCTCTCTTTCTCTCCACTCTCTCCTCCCCCCTTTCTCTCTACCTTTTCCCTCTCCCTCACTCCCTCTCTTCCTCTCCCGCTCTCTTACTCTCTCTCTCTCTCTCTTATTTTAAAAGTGACTGAAGTGTGTGGCATTGATGTAATGATCTCTTGAATTTTTGTCTTACATGGATAAAAAGATATGTAAATAATTGAATGCTTAAAAAATGTTTCAATAAATTTCTATTATCCAGTAACTGAGGCTGTAGAGACAGGATCTTTCAGCCCTGACACTCCTGTTAGAACTTACTCTGTGAAGAATAGAAAAGTGTTTCTTAATAAAAGAGAGCTCCGTATTGGGGTATGTGTACATTTTCATTTTAATTATTGTCTTGATTTTAACCTTTCAGAATTTTAAAGCCAATTCGATCATAACTTTTTTTTTCATTTTTTAAAGTGTAGTATCAGAATGATTGAAAAACATCACATTCAAAGCATTGATATTTTCTGCCCTTAACTAACATTTTCTTTCTATAGTTTGTAGTTTAGCTCAAAACTTTATTCTTTCTGAACCAAAACGTCAGCTTAATTGATTGTATCTCCGTAATGTTGTGTCTTTCATACAATTTTGATTTCTTTAGAATGTTGCAAGTGGTTTACCTGGCCCTACCAGATACTTTTGTAATGGCGCCTTGGTGATAAGACCAAATATACAAGCCGGCCAACATCTAATCCATGTTATAGATCAGGTTCTGGATATGCCCTTGGAACAGAATGCTATTGCTTATGTAACCGGAAACAATCAACCTGGATCATCGTAAGCCTTTGTTGTTGTTTTTTTTTTTTTTGGTTCTTTTTTTGATTATGCAGTTCGTTTAATTGTTTTGTTTGATTAGAGCTTTATAAATATTTGTTTATTTATTAATTTATATAAATTAATCCTGCTAAACTGTATCGTAAGCCTTTGTTGTTGTTTTTTTTTTTTTTTTGGTTCTTTTTTTGATTATGCAGTTCGTTTAATTGTTTTGATTGATTAGAGCTTTATAAATATTTGTTTATTTATTAAGTTATATAAATTAATCCTGCTAAACTGGTTAGGCTTAGATCTAACATAAATAAATGCAAAAACTAAAATACTATATTAATCAATAGGATATTCTATTTTATATTAATCAATAGGATATTCTATTTTAATGTATAGTAAACATCAATGAAATAATTTACTTATTGTTTGTAATAGTTATATTTGTTGAAATAAGCAAGCTTAAGTCTTAGGTTTACAATCTAGCCTTCCATGGATACTTTGGTTGTAATAACTTTGTAATTAATCGTTATGAAATGCAAAATTTTCTAGATCTTCTGTCGGCAGCAAAATTCACTGAAAATAATTGCTCCTAGTCATATTGTAAAATAGACATTATTCACATGGTTAATTGTGCTTGAATAGTTTTAATGTTCTAGATAAAACGCTATCTTCGTTGTTTGTTTGTAATAAAGTGCAATAATTCTTGCGTTTCTGTTATGTAAAATATGGTATTAGGTAACACTTTATTTTTCGTCGGGATACCAAAAATTGACCTCATATTTGTATTAGTTTTTTTATTTTTTATAATAGTCTCATATGCCTCTTTATTTTTATCGCTTTAACTTTTAGCCTCTTAAAAAGGAATTCTTAAGAGTCTTTGAGATTATTTTTATCATTTTATTTATTTCTAAACAATTCTACATTGGTACCATTTTTTTAATGTTTTAAATATATATATATATATATATATATATATATATATATATATATATATACATATATATATTTACTTTTATTTTTTGACATATTTGAATTAAAATGAGCTTTTTTATGCTTCAGGTTCTTACAATGAACATTCTTTCTGTTTCAGGTTCCAGTTCTTCAGTAAAATCATGGTGTTTCTGAGCCGTGCCCCTCAAGAAGATGGTGAATACAACTACAACAAACAGGTCCAGCAAGTGCTCTCCTCTAGCCAGGTCACATTCTTTATTCCATCGGATGAGGCCGTCAATAGGATTCCCCCCCAAAAGCTGAGTGAGCTTCAGGGTAACCTCAGAATTATGCTGGATGTAAGTAATATATTCAGTGAGCTTCAGCGAAACTTCAGACTTATGTTGGATGTAAGTAATCTGTTCAGTTAGCTTCAGGGTAACCTCAGAATTATGCTGGATGTAAGTAATATATTCAGTGAGCTTCAGCGAAACTTCAGACTTATGCTGGATGTGAGTAATCTGTTCAGTGAGCTTCAGGGTAACCTCAGACTTATGCCGGATGTGAGTAATCTGTTCAGTGAGCTTCAGGGTAACCTCAGAATTATGCTGAATGTAAGTAATATATTCAGTGAGCTTCAGTGACACCTCAGACTTATGCTGGATGTGAGTAATCTGTTCAGTGACGTTGACAGTAATTTGAGACTAACATGTGAAGTACAAATTTGTTTAATACCAGGTATGATTTCAGACATTTGGAGTTTCATACGTTTCTTGAGAGAATCTTATTTACTATATTTTTCTAAAAATTTAACAAGGTGTAATTAAAATAACATAAATTTAATAATGTAAAAGCCGAGACTTTGTCTGTTCTGTATATATATCTACGAGAAATAGTAATTTTATTTTTAATCCCAGATCATAACACTGCACATAGTCCCCAATCAAGTACTGTACACATCTCTTGTTAACCACAACGAAAGGTTTAACACACAGTTCAACTCAGGTGCAGTTGTCTTTAGGAAGAACTTTAACAGGGAAGCAGGTTAGACCAACTTTTTGTATTATATAAAACTACTGATTAAAATGGTCGAATATATGCATACGTAATTAAGAGATATTTACATTTTAAGGAATTATAAAAATGAGCCATTTTAAAGCAATACTATTTTTAATCAAAATATTAACATAATTTCCTAAATTTATTTCATAATTCCTTCCTCATTTTTTGCTAAAAATAGCACGTGGATTTAACACAAAAAAAAAAATTAAAAGGTGACTCGAATTTGGGTAGACAAAAAATCAAGAGGGCTAAAAGTGTGACTTTTAAGCCGTTATATTAACTTTGCTTTTATTCGCGGCTGGCACAATTTTTAAACGGTTAACTGACACACTTCCCGTCAACCTAACAAGCTGAAACTTGTTACATTGACTCCTTGCTGCTCCGGATTTACATCAGTTGGCGTTTCGCGCATGGAGACGGAAAGCCATGGATCGTTCCGAATGGAAGGATGTTGTGGAGCAAGCCAGGGCCCTACATGAGCTGTAGCGCCACTGATAATGATGATTATGTTGCTGAAGACAAAAGATCCTTTCAAATTGTCAGCCACTCCAGAACCTTCAAAAACATTTTCTTTTTTTTTACAAGGGCAAAATGAATGAAGTATAGCACCGCTTACTTCATGAAGTAAAATTCTTGAAAACTGCGCTTAATGAGATCTTTAAAAAAAATATATGGCATGTTCGTTTGGGGCGTAATATTTACTTTTATTTTGCTGAAATATTAACTGAAATAAATCTACGGTGTAAAATCTGGTGGGTCAAAAGAATATTAATATCTTTCAGGGGCGTGAAAAAAAAAAAATTGCGCTAGGGTGGAGCACCAATTGGGATTCATATGAATATCGTTTTTAGCCCCACCTCCTATTGCTCGCACTTACAGTTTTATAAAGGATTTGTACACATTTCTTTGTTTTGAGGGCTTTTTTAATTCAAAATTGTTTTATAATCATTTCAGTGTAGTAAACAGTAAAACGATGAGAACAATTTTTTCCTCATTTTAGACTGATTATATTATAATTTTAACGTTTGGTCAAACTCGATAATGAATTTGTCCCAAAGATTCAAATGATGAATTGCATCTTGAAGTACATAACAAATGCTGCATGGAAACGGAGATGCATTACCAATTAATAGTTTGTACAATTTTGGGTTAGATGTCAAACGTTAAGTTCTTCTGATTTTAAACACACAAAAACATGTATTCTATTCTTCCAGTGTATCTGACGGGCTCTTTGAAGGGAGGTAGAACTGTTACAGCAAAACTGAATCCTGCCAATATAACTGTACTAAACGGAGTTGTCCACCATATTGATTCTATCCTGGGATTTGTGTACAAGACAGCCGTTGAAGAGATTTCCATTGATCCAGACACTCAGTAAATTAGTTCTATTTTTAGATCCTGCCATTCTTTAACATTATTTATCTGAAAATATTAGAGACCGACCGAATTTCAGCTTCGGTTTTGGCGCCAAAAGTGGTCATTTTTATCACTTTCGGCCAAGTTTCGGTTTCAGCCGAAACTGAAAAATTAACTTTCGGCTTAGTTTCGGTTTTGGCCGAAAGAGAAAAGTTAACTTTCGTGTTTTTTTTCTCGGTTTCGGCCGCAATTTACTTAGACTTTTGGCCACCCGGCCGAAAGTGAATCAGGTTTTCGGTCATCTAATACTCAGTGAAAGCGATATTTAACAACAAACTAAGCGACATTTAAGAACAAATTAAGCGATCTTTGAGAACGAACTAAACCATATTTAACAACAAACTAAGCGACATTAAAAAACAAACTAAACGATCTTGAAAATAAACTAAGCGATCTTTAAGATCAATCTAAGCGATCTTAAATAACAAAATAAAGGATCTTAAAGAACAAACTGAACGATTTTTAAGAACGAACTATATGATCTTTAAGAACAAGACAATGATCTTTAATAGTAAACTAAATGATTTATAAGAAAAAACCAAGCGATCTTTAACAGAAAAATAAATGTTCTTTAGGAACAAACAAAAAGATCTTTAAGAAAAAAAATCAATCTTTATGAAAAATCTAAGTGATCTTCACAACAAAATAAGCGATCTATAAGAACAAACTGAACAATTTTTAATAAAAAACTAAAAGATCTATAAAAACAAACTAAATGCTCTTTAAGAAAAAACTGAATAATCTTTAAGAACAACTTATTGCTATTTAAAAACAAAATCTATGATCTTCAAGAACAAACTAAGCGATCATTTGAACAAACTAAACGATCTTTTAATAACACAAACTAAGCGATCTTTAACAAAAACTTATTGATCTTTTTTGAAAAAAGTAAATGATCTTTAAGAACAAACTAAAAGATCTTTAAACAAAAACTACGCGATCTTTAAGAACAAACTAAGCGATCTTTTACAACAAACTAAGCGATCTTTATGAACAAACTAAGCGATCTTTAAGAACAAATATAGCGATCATTAACAAAAAATTGAACGATCTTAAACAACAAATTAAGCAAAATTTAAGAACAAATTAAGCGATGTTTAAGATTAAACTAAGCGGTCTTTTAGAACAAACTAAGCAAACTTTATGAACAAATTCACCGATCTTTAAAAACAAACTAACCGATCTTTAATAACAAACTTAGCGGTATTAAGAACAAACTAACCGATCTTTAATAACAAACTTAGCTGTATTAAGAACAAACTAACCGATCTTTAATAACAAACTTAGCGGTATTAAGAACAAACTAACCGATCTTTAAAAACAAGTAAAGCGACGTTTAAGAAAAAATTCATCGATCTTGAGAACCATGATCAGAACAACAATTTTAATAAACTCGGTTAAAAAAAAAAATTTCGCCACCAATGGGGTTGAGGGAGACTGGTCTCCGAACGAAATAGTTACGTCGACAGCATGGAAAGATTATTGTGTTTTTACTAGGTTAAATATTTATACAGTGATATCTTGCAAGCTGTTAATGAAAAAGCAAAGAATTAATATTACGAAAACAGCGAAACATTCTGGTGATATTTTTATAGACTTAACAACATATAATTATGTGGCGATTGGCTCTATTAGAGCCACAAAAATTATTGTAGATATATTTTCTAGGTTGTAATTATATTATAAAAACAAAGGGCACTTAAGAGTCAAATTTGCATTAATTCCCCCCCCCCCATTTATGCAAAAATTAAAAAATGTCTCCTACCATACTAATTTTTATAAAATTGTAAAGCAATTTAAATTAGTTTTAGATTAAATTGGTTAAAACCTAAGTTTTCATTAGTATTTATGCAAAAATTAAAAAAAGTCTCCTACCATACTAATTTTTATAAAATTGTAAAGCAATTTAAATTAGTTTTAGATTAAATTGGTTAAAACCTAAGTTTTCATTAGATCATGGGTCTCAAACACAAATCATCTGGGGGGGGGGGAAGGGGGCGCAGGAGGTAGTGTCTGAGTGAGAGTGGGCCGCATCAAGTATTCCACAAAAAGCGATTAAAATCTGCTCAAAATTTATAAATAACAAATAAAAACATTAAGGGTTCTCAAGAACTAGGATTCATGTTCTTCCTCCTACTCACTGTTGCCAGAGACCTGAAAGCGCTTCTTTTTACACAGCTGACCAACTTTGGCTTGAGTGTGGAAACAACTTAGACTCTCAGTATAGCTTGAAGATCCTCATCAGTAATTTTGGCCCTGAACTTTGAATTGTTAAAGTGCATAGTGGAAAAGAGCTATTCACACTGACAGGTACTCCCAAAAAGTCGTATGTTCCGCTTTAACAACCTAAAAATTTCAGGGAAGGTTGAGGACAATGCAATAAAATGTCAATGCTTGTCTGTTTTTCCATTAAGCTCCCTGCGCGGTGCATCTTGCACATTAAAGGAGAAAGGGTCAGCAAAAAGCTGAAAAGTGGCTGTCTGTGTTTTGAAGTCTAAAAAATGTAGAGACCCGGACTGGGTAAAAAGCATAAGAAGAAGATTTAGAAAGTGACCAAGCTGACATGCTCGGAATTTTCCTCACTCGTAAACACTAGTGGCAATTTTAATATTTATCCTTTGATAATGTATCAGACGGCTCCGATTTACACAATTATGTTTGTGCATTACCCGCCAGCTTATTTTTAAAAGTGTTTCTCAAAGCCGCATCCTTTGCCATGTTTGTCTCATAAAAGCTATAAAATAAAAACTTTTATTCCGATTTGAAACGGTTCTTACCATTATAAGCATCATACAAAAATATATAAAACATTTTAAAAAATCAGAATTAGACAAGTCGGTGAGATTATTCTGAAACCGTCGCGGAGAGTCACGTTATAGAAATGAGAATGGGGGAAACGCGCCTTTGCATTAACACTAAACTTTTTTGTCATGTAGTGGGCCGCGAGTTTGAGACCCCTATATTAGATGTTTATTTATTAGTATTCATGATTATCTCATTTTTTATAAAAAGAATTTAAATATTTATACTTTCCCCATCATTATCAATGTATGCAGAATGTATGCGGGAATGAATTTCAAAATATCGAAATATTTCATTTTCGGCTTCGGCTTCGGTTTCGGCCAAAAGTCATTTTAAACTTTCGGCCTATTTTTGGCTTTGGCCGAAATCAGAAAATCCTTTTAGGTCGGTCTCTAGAAAATTTTTGCACAGGTACTCGTGCATGCACTGGTAAAAAGAAAAGCAAATTCTTCATTTAATTAGTTTTTTTATCACATCGTTTAGTTGAAATTAAAATAAAATAACCTTTTAAATTATGATTAAATGTAACTTTTTAGATAATCTTCTAAGGTTTTTTTACTTCAATTTTGTGTTTCTTTCACCATGCTTCGTTTTCATTATCTTTTTTCAGAAGTTTTGAGCAGTTACTTTATGCAGCCAAGAAGGATCTCCAGAACGCTCTGACCGCTACTAGTGGAGTTACAGTTTTTGTCCCAACCAACCAGGCCATGCTTGCTATAGCCAATGTTTATCAAAACTACATCAACAACCAGTCACTGCTTAATATGGTACATATTTTTATTACATTTTTAGAAGGATAAAATAAATTAAAATATTAACAGATTAATTATAAAAAGTAGTGTTCAAAATAATAAAATCCTTTTCCATAATATCGGCGGCATTTCCATAGCAAATACGATAAGTGGGTGTTATGAAAACTACTTTTAGAATTAATCTGTAATGGAGGAAAGAACTTTTTAATTTTGATCCCACCAGTTTTCCAACAGCTCATTTAAAAAAAAAAAATTAGCCTGCTCTCTACTGCACTGACATGCAAAAAACATGTATCTCTGTAATTGAAAAACGAGCACCGTCTTAAATACGTAGTCTTCCTTACTTTTTGTTGTTATTATTGTATTGTTCATCCTTCACGTGCTAAAACGACTAAGGCTTTGACTTGATTAGAAGCATTGACTTGAGATGTACTTTTGTTTTAAATTGAAGATTTATTGCTCGATTTGTCACCTTTAATCTCTCTGCTCTGCTTATTTAATCCAATGTTACACGACTTAGTCAAAACGACTGGAAATAGACCAGGGTGCCGTAGATGGCCAGCAGTGATTCCTGTGTCTCACCCTGCTCTTTTTGCTTTCCACGGTGCAGGAGAAGTTGTAATTTATATTGTGTCAATGTGATACCGCCTGCAGGAGTCACTCTCTGGGTTTCATGGCAAAGTTTGCCTTTTCTTTTGTCAGTTGAATTGCAAGGTTAACGAGTCCCTTCCACCCGGGTTGCAGGAATTTTTTTTTTGTGTTGCTTGTTTAGGCTTTTGCTGAGTATTTTATTCCAGTCCATAAGCTTGGGGTTGTATAACATTATGTCTACAGGTGTAGATTTTTATTTAAAGTTCAAATTCAAACAAATCCATATACCGTATTTATTGGCGTATAACACGCCCCCGCGTATAATACGCACCTCAATTTAAGAAGTAAATTTCAGGGGAAAAAAACTTAACATTATTTTGGCGTATAACACTCACACATCATTCGCCCTATTTTTTTCAGGGATAAAAAGTGCGTATTATAAGCCAATAAATACGGTCATAATATCACTTGCATTAGTTTTCACGTTCGAAAATGTGCAATTAATTCCATAGTTGCCGCCTTCATACTAATAAATAATCTCTAGATAAGATTATTACGCTGTCATTTTAAGTATTAAATTTCAGGGTAGCTAAACAAATAGTGTTAGCTTTTGTAAACAGTAATCGTGATTTTTGCTGATGTTACCCCCTAATGCCTGATATTGATTTTTTCCCTACAGCAAAAGAAGAATTTTTCATTTTACCAATACGTTTTGTTTATATTATTTGTTCATACGTCATCGTGTAACATAGAAGCAATTCCTAAATGCATTGAGAGAACTTTTTTCTGGTTTAGATCCTGGAGATGAGTATCTTACAACAAGGTCAAACCATCAACCTGATGGACCATTATGGAAATTATGAGTCTTACAACACCGCTGTATCAAGATACAATGGGCGTCTGATTAAAGTGTATAGTGAAGGCAATGGTTAGTAGATGGCACGTTAAAGTGTATAGTGAAGGCAATGGTTGGTAGATGGCACGTTAAAGTTTATAGTGAAGGCAATGGTTGGTAGATGGCGCTCACTTTAATTTTGAGTGTTTTTGTGTTTCTTTTGATTTTGTTATGCTTCGAAATTTTTCTGTGCTGCCCATTTCGGTAATTTCGCGCCCAACATCCATACGAGTAAGCATGAAATAAAAAAAAAACATTAAACATTTTTACATTGTTTTAACAAAAATGTCTTTTTTTCTTTTTAAACGGAAAGAAAATATTTCTACTTAAAATATGTGATATCAAATCATGTATACATTAAGAATTTTGCTTAAAATTTTAAGAGTTGTCCAATATTTTCATAGATTCAAAATACAATTTTAAAACTTAATCTAACAAAATTTAATGAAATATTAATGTGTTCATTATAATGTCAAGAATTGATGTTTCCATTTTAAGATACTTGGGTAGAAGGTGGCTATGTGAAAGCCAGGGTCATCAAGCCGGACATCGGTGTGACCAATGGCGTAGTCCATCAGATTGATGCCGTCTTCGGCGTACCAACGCGAGACATTGTCTACACAATCTACTGTGAGGATTGGCTTGTGTAAGTATTGCAAATAATAAAATGATGAACTATTGTCTTACAATAAATGAGACATTAGCTTGTGCTGAAAATGCATATTTATAAACAACATTTTTTGTAAGATCTCTGCTTTGACATTTTTTTTCCAAAACAACAATGTTTTAAAAATGAGAGAAATGATTTAAGTTTATTTAAAAATGAGTAAATGTTATCCTTAGGAATGTGATTGAGTATATTACATTAATATTTTTTTAAATGTTTTTTTTCTAATTACATAATCAAAATTTAAGTTAAAAAAATTTTGATAATTATAATATTTAAAATAAATGGGCAAGTTGGTATTCATATTTTGTAAATTACAAGAGTTACATTTCTTTCGTTGATGTTTTCTTAGTGTAAATATTTTTTAAAAATACAAACATTTAGGGATTATCTTAAATATTTATTCTCCTTGTTAGGATCAAATAACTGCATTGATCTTTAAATGGTGTATTTTCTTGTTTATTAATGTCAAATTATGTTGATATATTTAATAATATATGTATACTTATATATATATATACTGTAGATTAGGCGTACACTTTTCATAAGCAGATACTCAGAAGTCGATTATTCTGTCGTTTCACAATTAACCTACCTTTCTGGAAGATTACTTGCCATAAATTTAAGTAGTTAATTAACTAATTTAAAAAAAAATATATAATTCTTGCAGTAATGGTTAAAAAATTATTTCAAATGAATAACCGACTGCATTTTTTTTTATTCCTGCAGTAATAGCCGAAAGATCTTTTCAATTTAATAACTATTTTTGCATTTTGTTAGTTTTAAATAATCAAAATTTATTTTCTGAGTGCCATCCGCATTTTATTTTGTTATACTAGTTCGACGTACATCCAGCTCCGGTATGTAGGACTGGATACGTACTTGAGGGACCCAACATTGACGAAAAACAGAGAATGTCCTTTAAGTGCGAGTGCCCAAGCTGGCAGTTCTGCACCAAGTGTTGGCCTCACAAACACGAACCAAAATGGTCAATTTGGAGGCCACTGTGGAGACGGTCCGCAAAGGTTAGTGGTGGATATTTCATGAAAAAATGTGTTGTTTTTGTTCTCTTTACGAGAATTATAAATAATATTATTATCTTATTAGCATTAAATAATTTTTGTTTGCTTCTGACATATGCACTAATCTTTTCTAATGTCTTTCAATACTTGACTGTTTTGTGACAATCAATAATTTCTTCATTTTACGTTATTTTACAGTTTTTGATTCTTAATAACATAATAATATATAGTTTTTTTGTTTTTTTTTTTAATAAACTTTCTTTTGTTCCAGATGTGAGTTTACATTTTTTGTACCCAATGGAACGGCTATCGACAATTTTGCCCTAACACCATACGGGAGACAAATCATGAATGATCCTGCGAGGTGGAGATGGGTAAGTTGGTTTTGGGGGTACTCATTAATATGTCTACGCCGGGCTAATCCGAGACGATTAACGAAACTATAGATGAGTAGCTCATACACTGATCTCTGTATAATTATGCATAATCAAGACTGATGATGGTTAAAATAGTATACCCCATAAAAGTCTGAAACATGGTTTTGATACCTTTGATACCGTTTGCCATCAGACCCTTTACAAAGCTCTTGAAAATTACTTTGGGGTTTCTGGTTCAGTTTTGGCTTTATTTGTATCCTACTTCTCCAATTCAATGTGGGCGGTATCTTTGTATATCTGTCTTTCCGGTTGGTCAGACTTGAGGACGGAGTGCCACAGGAGTCCGTTTTGGGTTTCGCCTTATTCACAATGTATACCAGGCAACTTCTGCTCGTGTTGGATGGAGCATGCTGTTGAGAGCCAGTCATTCGCAGATGACATGCAACTATATAAGCATACCCATCCTTCTGTTGTAAATTCTGTTATCCACACCTTGCAGAAGGGCTTTGGTGAAGTAAAGTCATGGATGGCTCTTAGCAAATTAAAGATAAAAGATGACAAAATGGAAGCTCTCTCCATTCACAATCATGAATCATCCTCTAGCTCAGCCCTCCCCAATCTCGTTTCATGTAAATAGCTCCATTATAGTTTTCACATCATCTGCTAGGAACCTTGGTTACATTCTTTCTGACAACATGTCTCTAAATAATAATATCTATCACATTGGTCACTCAGCGTACACAGCTATCCGTCAGATCAGCTCCGTCCGCCCCTACCTCACTGTCAGCTCAACAAAAACACTAGTCTGTGCTCTTGTTCTCTCTCGTCTAGAATATTGTAACTCTCTTCTGTCAGGCTTAGGAAAACATTACATAGATACAATGCACAAAGTTCAAAACTCAGCTGCTAGGTTATTTCGAAAGGAAAAAAAAACATGATCATGCCACTTCACTACTTCTCACACTTTCATTGGCTCCCCCACATAGACACGCATTGATTACAAGCTGTCTTTACTCTGTTACAACCTTTTCTCTGATTCCTGCCCTTCCTACCTTACTGGATTTCTAACTGTCTATTCACACCTTCGAAACCTTTGTTCCTCCGCAGACTCGCGTATTCTTTCTGTTCTCAGAACGCGCACCAAAACGTATGGTGAACGATCTTTCTCTTTCTGCGCCCCCAAACAATGGAATTCTCTCTATCCGTATTATGCTTACAATACAGGCATTAAAAACTTCAATCAAAACACATCTCTTTAAACTCTACTATTCCGACTGATTCCCCCTATTTCCGATAAACGACGCAACTGGTTGCCGTCCATGGCTTGATATGTAAAAGATCTGAGGTGGGTGGTGTGAATATAATTTTCTTTTTCTTTTTATATGGCTGTTTTAAATTTAAATAAATGCAATTTTATTTTTTAATGTCGTGATTATGTTTGATAATATTTTTTATGCACAGCGTAGTGAACCCAGTTCTACATTGGGCAACCGCGTTACATGAGATCACTAATAATAATAATATTGGAATTGAAACTAAAGCACATTTTTTTGTGGGATTAAAATTAAATGTTTATAAACGATGTAGCTTTGGACTTAATAGTAGCTCGTGCCAGAATAATAATACAAAAATTAAAAGCGGCAAAAGTCTGTTAAATACGTTATGTCAAAAAAGAATGCAAATAAATTTGAGATTTCGTTTTTTTTTGTTTTTTGTTTTTTATTAGCCAAGGCAAATTATCACATTATTCTTAATAGCAGGAGCTTCGCTTTATTTTAGGATTTTTGTGTATCTCTTTCGAAAATAAATGTATAAATAAATTTTAAATAGCTCCGCTGGTTTCTTCAGGCTACAGGGAGAGCATGTCTTTCATCCAACTTTTTTAATACTTTCAAATTCAGTTATATAATACAGTATCCACACTCCTAATGATCCAACCTTATTTTGTAAAGAAGCGTTGGATTTGATCAATTAGATATAGATAGATATTAGACAAACCAAAATTGGTAGAAATCTGACTTGTCTTGGAACTATTTTAACCTATTTGGGGACCAGAGGCGAAGCGAGGGCGTTTGGCACCCGGGGACAAGATTCGCGCCCGAGGACAAGATCAATTTTAAAGCGCCCCTTTCTTTTTTTCAACTCTCAAACCCATTATTTTTACCAATAATATAATATCAACGCACATTTTGGCGCCCCTAACTAGCAGGCGCCCGGGTACATCTGCCCCCCACCTCACTACGCCTCTGTTGGGGACCAATGATCCTTAACGATTTTCAAGGTACAACTATTCGTATGCTTGATTGCAACAGAACCTACAATGAGCTAAAATACCATGCAACTTAGAAACTTTTAAAGTGGTTAATGTGCTATTTGTGGCCGTTTTGAAATTGTACGCTGTAGACACTTGTTGTTTTCAGTTGTTGAGGAGATTAGTAATCTACGGAGAAAAAATCTATGTAGATCAAATGGCTGCAGGTGCATCAAAGAGCTTCTACGCAGACAATGGAGAGGAAATCATTGTACAAACTGACTCAAGGAGTAACATTCCCAGTGGACAGAGAAGTGAGTATAACGTACCATGCAACATAAATAATTAATAATATGTATTAATAAACGCCCCCAAAAATGCATATTTATCTTGGTTCTCATTAGTTACAAATACATATTTATAACCAAGGATAAAGAGATATAAACAGCGGCGTCCCTTCTCTGCCTAAATATATCTAGTATTGTGCTATATCGGCGTTCTAGCGACAGGAAATGAACAGAGTAATAGAAGCCACTGGGGAACACAGCCATATGTTAAATATTCGTGCAACAAAGACACATACGAATAAAGATGAAGACCAAATGCAGGCAAATAAATTTTAAAATCTTCATTTTAACCAATGCCAGACATGGTTTATATATTAAAATTATAGATCGAAAAAAAAATCAACTGAGAGAAGAGATGTTTAAGGCGAGCAGCTGGTAAAATGAGAAGAGACCAGTTTTCTAATAAGAAAATATGACAAATGGTTGGCTTACACAAATGAGCCAGTACCGGTTTAAAAGCAAAATAACTGCCATGTGCGCCTAGTAAGAATCACCCCCCCCCCTCACTTTGTCTGCATTGCATACCTGCCAACAATAGCAGAAAGTCGGTTTTAGAGCTAGCCGTAGATTAAATTTGTTATTCTGAACACACTTAGTCCACCACAGGAATCTTCTGCAAGATTCTCACCTTCTGTCAGAGCGCCAAATGTACACGCCACTAAGTCTCCCCGGTAATACCTTATACGAAGAAGGAGATGAATATAAGCCATAGTAAAAGAAGAAGATAAATTAAATATAAACCACAATAATAAGAAAAAGATAAAATTAAACCATAATAAGAAGAAGAAGATGAATATAAACCATAATGAGAAGAAGAAGATGAAATTAAACCATAATATAAGAAGAAGATGAATATAAACCATAATACAAAAATAAGACGCAGATGAATATAAAGCATAATAAGAAGATGAATATAAACCATTTTAATGATATTAAATGACTATAAACCATAACAATAAGAAAAAAATGGATAATAAACATAATAATAATAAGTAAATGATTATTAACCATAATAATAATAATATGATGAATATAAACCTGAATAAGAGGAAGATGAATATAAAGCATAACAACAGTAAACGGATTGTGAGTGAACTCCCCTGATTTATTCTCATTGAAGTGAGAGAAGTTTTTTTATTGTTAGATTTTTTGGTGGAGTTGTGGTCATTCATTATAAAAGTTACTTTATGTTTTATACAATGAGATTAAACTCTCTCTATTCTCCCCCACCCCCCCAACTCCAGTTGCCTACATCGTGTTTGAAGGCATAAGAGCTCAAATCATCCACTCTGACATCGGGGCCACCAATGGCGTTGTTCACATCATCAGTTCATTACTATTCGTGCCAGAGGACCTCGGCCGTGACATTTCTCCCCCGACAAGTTCAACTGAGGATACAAGTACGCCATATAATGGAAAAGAAGATTGCACAGCGGTCCCATTAGCATTAATTTGTAGCCTACTGACGTTTATTGCATTTACGTGATAAGTTTTTCCTCTAGGTATTTTGTTAAACAGAAATCAGTTGTTTGTTTTTTTCATTTCATTCAATTGATTTCGTCTCAGTTCTATGTGTTCACTGAAAAAAAATATAATTCCTTTATTGCTTTATTATTACTGAAATGGAGCCGACAAGTGAATGAGAATTGCAATGTATGAATAAAGTTATAAACTGCAAGTCTACTATATTATTACTCTGGATGTGTTAGCAGTTGTGTCATATTTTATACTTTAGGTAATGACGGGCTTAAAAATGTCCTCTACGTTTTTATGTTCATGGCTTGACAATTTTCGACAAAATCTCGATGTCCATAGTCTCTATAATTTTACTTTTCCACTTTTTTAAGGTTTTGGGATATTACTAACATACTTATGCCTTTTTATCCCACCTTTATTTCCATTCATCTCAGTCCTGTGCTTTCTTTTCAAAGTTGCTTCCAAGTGGACCCCACACTTGGTGTTTCTGCTTCTAGCTGCGTCGTCATATTTTCTTTCTTTCGCCTTCCTCTCTTTCTTTTCCCCATGGATCCCGTGATTGTCATTGTCTTAATATGTTTTCTGGGTGTGTACGAGAAGCGTTCCCTATCCGCCTCGATCTTTTCCCTTTGACGTCTTCAGCAATGATCTCTTGGTATGTCCTTTCCAGTAAGTCTTTGATGTTAAGGATCTACTTATGGGTATACTAATATAAATGTACACATTGTTTGTCGAGATCCCTTAAAAATATATTTGTAAAAATTGGTATAACATTATTTTAGAGAAAGTAAACATTTCCTTTTCACAACTGTAATATTATCAGCTTTAAAAATAGTTTTAACAAACAAACTTAACCATCATCTTTCCTCCGCTGGAAATGTGTTTTTGAACAAAGTTAAATACATGATATCATTAGTTTAAAAAATAAATGTATATATATTAATCCAAAGTGTGAAACATAATTAGCCGATGAGATATTTCTATATTTATCAAATACGCTTATCTTTACACTGGCGTAATTTGTGGTCTTGGCCAAATCTAAATATACCAACCCCATCTCCCCCAACAATAAATATTGTATTAAGCTTTAAATAACCATAAATAAAAGAATCCCAGTGATTTTAACACCATTATGTAGATACCGCACCACTTTTTACACTCCCTTATTGTAAACAAACATTATAATGTCCCACCCTAGTTTTTCCACGAAATGTACTATATTTTCTGAACAATATATATTTCAATGCTTTTAAAATATCTTTTTTTCTTCCTTTTTTTTTTTTTCTTAAGTTAGAGATTTTAATTTAATATATGCGTCCTGATTGTTGTTTTTCTTTTCTAACAATCTCGATTCCACGACAATGTGTTTCGTTTCTTTAGACTGGAGCTAAATATGTTGGTTTTGATATTCATGTATTAACGACGTATTATTACACCGACAATCTGCTGTTTTGGGCTCGGTATAGGGACATATTTAAATGGTTAGTTTGTTGAACTGGAAATTTACATTCAGTTAACTAAATATTTTCGGTGCAGCACTCCATGACTATAACAAAACTAGGAAGTCTATTTTATCCTCATATGTGTGCTAAATGACTTGGTAACACATTAAGAAATACAAACCAAATTCAAATGCAGAAAACAAAATAGTAACATCGTGAAACTAAAACAACAAATGGAAATATATCCTGGCAGGGGTCAATTCGTATACCTCTGATTAGAATGACATCAATTAGCCATGGTAGGTGTCAATTCCTATTAGTCTTATTGGGATAACACCAATTAATTAGGCATGACTGTTGAGTTTTTCACCTGGAAACGACAAACAAACAAAAAAAGAATTATCTGATAGCACCATTCCTAAGTTACCTTGACAGATGTTGTGTGAATTTTTGTATATATTTCGAGGACCTGGTAAGAAGGTGGTGGGTGCAAAATTCATTGTCATAATCTCATAAACATAATTTAAACTACTTATAATGCTTTCCTGTCTCCCTGGGATATCGTACTTACCTACCCACCTGGTTTAAATAATCTTCTTCCCAACTTAATTCAGTAATATCCTACCAAACATTTCAATAATCACCTACTGACCTGGTTTTAGGACCATGTCAGCAGCCTCAAATCTGCCATAGACGTGACTCATGTCTTATCAATGTAGGCACCAGGCGCTGTGGGTATCAGCGATCATCCTAACAGCCTTTATCATTGCTGGTTAAGTTGTGAATGACGTCATCTCTGTGCTTCTCACTGATGGAGATTAACTTGTGTCCGTGGATGTGAATGGCGTGAAGATCCGGCTTTTAAAATTTTGAAGATATAGCTTTAAAAAACAAATCACGTAATTATCATCAATTTTTTTTTAAAAATAGCAATAATACTTAAAGTTCAAAATGACGGAAATGTTTAGTTACATCTTGCAATGAATGATAATTTCTTTTCATCAAATAATATTCAGTTTAAACTAGATTATCGTGATCCGACAAATTTGTTTTTGTTTTTAAATTAGTAATTAAAATATGTCGACATGTTCGTGCAATTAAGAATAAAGGGGAAGACCATTGCTGAATGTTAAAATGGAAACAGGCAGTCAACGTTTGAGTCGTACACTTATTACCTTGATGGTAAAGTGATGAGAGATTTTTTTATTTTAATAAAAAAAAGATGTTCAAAATATAACTGTCACAAAAGCGTGTTACAACATACCAGTATTAAAATCTGGAGTTTACTTTTAATGTAGAGCTTATATTAGAGGTGGCATGAAGAAGTTTTAAAAATATCAATATGAAAATTATATATTAAAAATATTTTTTTAAAATCAAAGTTGACTATTGTTATTTTATTTTTCTTAAATTATCCAAAATTCAATTTTTGTTGACTCATCATAAAATGTACCCTCCCAAACCCCCCCCCCCTATTTTTTTTAACCCCTCTAGGTTAAAAAAAAAATTGAAAATATTATCCACTCACTTAAACATAGTTGAAATGGTCCCTAGAAGGGAGGCAACAAAACAAAAACTACATTTATTCAGATTTACATGCTTATCTGCCTTATATGTTAACTTAACAGAAGCAGCACTTGTTGCATACAAGCTCTCAGTAAGTACCCATCATTCGTTACTAAAACTGTCGGTCACAATTAATACTGCGACAGTACTATAACTCTCTGTCACAATGGATACTGCGTCAGTACTAAAACTGTCTGTCACAATGGATACTGCGGGAGTAATACCCGATTTTAACCCAACAACTTAGAAAGAACAATATTCCCCCCCCCCCCCCAATCCCCTTTCTAATAACATCAAATCAACATAATTAATTTTTCACAGATTCATTCCTGTCGAAGAACTCACTATTGACATCCATAGATCATGAAATATGATTAAAAATGGCAGATTTAAATCATACAGAGATTTACTGCTGAAAGTTTGAAAGTACCATTGTTTTGGTTTATTAAATTAGCACTACAGACTCACACTATAAAAAAAAAAAAACAATTAAACACATTTTTGATTTCTTTAACAGTTACTTTAATCTAATCCCCTCACCCCCATTCATTCCATGTGATAACATTTTGTTAAGCGGATTAAATTATGATTTTTAACAAAACAAGTAAACCTTCTGTAGGATAAACTTGTGTTTCTGAAGTTATTCTGATCTATATACGCTTAAGGTAACTGAAGCATCAAAGAACACTTGTTATATGAAATATGATTAAAAATGTCAGATTTAAATCATACATAGATTTACTGCTGAAAGTTTGAAAGTCCCATTGTTTTGGTGTATTAAATTAGCACTACAGACTCACACTAAAAAAAAAAAAAAACAATTAAACACATTTTTGATTTCTTTAACAGTTACTTTAATCTAATCCCCTCACCCCCATTCATTCCATGTGATAACATTTTGTTAAGCGGATTAAATTATGATTTGTAACAAAACAAGTAAACCTTCTGTAGGATAAACTTGTGTTTCTGAAGTTATTCTGATCTATATACGCTTAAGGTAACTGAAGCATCAAAGAACACTTGTTAATGCGTAGCTTCTCTGAGTCCATAGATGCAAGGTTAAGAACCGTTAATCTAAAGTAGAATAGTGTGTGTCCGAGCAGCAAAACTCATGGTCCAACACGTAAAATAAGTACAGTGCAGTCACGGTCGGGGTTGGGGGGGGGGGAATAATGTCTTTATTCTTGAACACAAACATCGAACATTCTTTCAAATGTTGGCCTAGATGTCTGAGATTGAGACTTGACTCCGTGATGGATACTACGACATAAGATTTCAAAAAAATATAAAATGTATGACTAATACTTCAAATTATCACATTTTTGTTAGGGCATTTGAATCAAAATTTATTATATAATTATCTACTAGTTATCACGTATAATTTTTCGTATAAGAATATAATCAAGTTGGCTGAAATAGGGTTTGTCTATACATTCCCTTAAAATGTACACCTAGTACCAGACAATTATAGACAGGAGTGATGGATATCTGTCAGTTTTTTTCTCACACTCCTATTTTTTCTTCCCCTATTTGCATCCCGACCCCATGGGATCCCACTCTTCATTAAATCCCGATCCAAGTTGGATATCGATCCCATTGGGATTCCTATTCCGTCGGTATTCTGATCCCGCTGGTATCCCTATCCCGGTAGGATCCCGACACCGGTGATATTTGCCCCCCCCCTTTCCCCCCAGGCCCCAAACAAAATGTTATAAAAAGTTCAGAAGCTCCTTTTGGATAATGATGGATATATGTGTCAAGTTTGGTCAAGATCCATCAATCCATGTAAACCGTATGTGGAAAAAAATCCACAAACAGACAGACATTCACTTTTATTTGTGTATGATAGATGACTAGCCAATAGATCCGGCGTTGCCCAAGACTGCCTTCTCTAGAAATAAACCTTTCATAATCCCACCGGGAACATGATGCCAACGAAAAACGTGATTCTAGAGGAGAGCGATATTCAAAAGTAAACTACAACCCTCTGGTAACACGATCTCATTGGGTAACGGGATCAAACAAGGATCGGAATCCTTTAAGTAAATGGGATCGGAGAAGAGGATCTCACCGGGAAACGGAATTACAACAGAAAATGTGATACCCCTGGGATTGGGATCCAGCGGGATCAGGATAACGACGGGTTAAGAAACTAATCGGGACCGGAATCTAACCGAGATCGGGATAGCGTGGGGGATCAGGGTCTCATCGGGAAACGAAATTCCACTGGGATTGGGAACCAAAGTGATCGGGATCCTACGAGGATAAGAACCCAACTGTATTGGAAAACTGACGGGATCAGGATCCCACCGGTCTCGGGATCCCACCGCAATAGGAATCCACTGGGATCGAGACTAAACCAGGATCGGGATACCGACGAGATCAGGAACACACCGGTGTTACGCACAGGCTTCTATTGTGAACAAATTAATCCCTTTTTAAAGTTATGGCTTGTTCCCACAGTGCACAACAAAGGACGATGCCATAGAGATATACAATAATAAATATACAACACGCAAAAAAAAATTGCCAATTACAATTAATAAGATTTAATTTAGTAATAATACAATTACACAACAATAGAAATATAATTACAAATCAATAACTTACAGAGTATCGGAAAATTTTGAACCGGTACACAACTCGTGCAATATGCCACTTAATAATGATGAAAGCGAATGAGCACACAAAGAATAATACCATTGTCTCGTAAAGTTAATAATATCTCTCTGAATCTCCGTCTCTCTCTGTCTGTAAGCACTGCCTTCCAGAAGCTATTCGGCATTTGTTTACGTTTCTCGGCAAATCGAGAACCTTCGACAAGAGTCTAGGAGACAGACCAACCATGTTCAATTGGTAGAAAGGTCGTATACACGATGCATCAAAGAGATAAGCCACGCCCATCCATGAACGTAGCATGTGTTAGGAATCTAATTTGGGTCAAGCAAAGTTTACGCACGGTGAAAAGAGTCATACACAACACTGGTATCTGGGCCCCCCTGGGATCGGGATTCCTTTGAAAAATGGGATCGTATTGGTAAATGGGATCCGGTTGGTATTTCACAAGGAAAGAAATGTTTACAAATTTAATTATAAATGTGTTTTCATTACAGACAAATTAATAATTTGGTGTTTTTTTTAGAATTGCGGTGTTGTTCTTGTTATTTTTTTACCTTGTGGTTAATTTCAATGCCAATTAAAATTCTGTAGCTGTTTTTTTTTTAATGCAATCCCTGGAAACGCGGAATATATTTCCCAATTAATAGTAAAAGCTATGTTAGTGATTTGTCGCTGTTTTACTGTAGCCACCATACAAAAGACTATGTGCTCGGAGTGGAATTTGAGCTAAGAAACATTTGTCTTACCACAGCGCTACAAATATATCTACTCCACAACCTTTTTGTAAAGACCAAGATAGCTCAGACATGCGGCCTTTTTAAAAAATAAGCATTTATTTTTTTAATTTTTTTTTTAGATTCTTTTTTTAAATTCTAAAGCACAATTTAATTAAATTTTATAATTCACTTGTATTTAACTTACATTTGTTTAAAGTAACTGAATTCCTCTCCATATTGCAGAAAAGAAGTGTGCAGCCTCATTATTTGTTTAAAGATGTGATGCATCACCTTAAACCCGTTCGCACGGCCATTAACCGTGGTGCACACAGCGCTGCTGTATGCTTGGCTCGATAAAAGTGTGAGAACTTGACATCGTTCTGAATGCTTTATTGAAAATAATGATATGTTTTGTTTTATTTCATCAAGAACATGAAATACGTCTACATATTTCTGTTCAACGGACTGGGTAAGTACAAATCTTATCAGAAAACATATTTTTTATAATGTTCCTCATCCTCCTCTTGTCCCTTAGTCTTTGGACAGTTGGGGCGCCACAGATGACATGTGAACCATCTTCCTCCATTCCTCTCTGTCTTCAGCACTACGCACTGCATCGCCCAGTGTTAGTCCTGTCCACTCTTTGATGTTATCCTCCCACCTTTTTCTTTGTCTTCCTCTTCTTCTCCGTCCTTTTGTGGTGCCCTGCAATATTTCTTAGGCAAGCCCTTGTTTCCTTGTTACGTGGACATACCATTGTAATTTGCGTTTTTTCACAGTCACCAGTAGGTCATCGTACTCCCCAATTGCCTGACGGACCCTTTCTTTTACTGTATCATTGGAGATATGGTCCCTATGGCAGATGCCAAAAATGCTTCTGAAGCATCTCATCTCCATTGCCCTTATTTTCCTTTCAAGATAGGCTGTTTATGTCCAGGATTCGCAGGCATACAGGAAAATTGAGAGGACCAATGAGCGCATCAGCCTGATTTAGGTGCTGAGGGCTATATTTTTGTCATTCTATATTTTCTTGAGCTTCTTTAGTGCTGTTGTAGTCTGCGCAATCAGTTCCGGCTTGGAGCCTTCTTCTGAGACTATTGCTCCTAGGTATTTGAAGCGGCCGACAGTCTCTAATCTTTCCTCCCCGACCTTAATTTCAGTGGTGATGCCTGCGGTATTATTTGTCATCAGTTTTGTCTTTTCGGCACTGATTAGCATGCCGTACGATGACAAGGTCTTATCGAGACACTTTACCAGGTTGGCTAGCTCTTCTTCGTTCCCAGCATGCACGGCTATGTCGTCCGCAAGAGTAGGTTGGTGATTGATCTGCTAACAATGCTGACTGTCCCTTCATGCTCTTCCAAGGCATCTGACATAATTCTCTCTATGAAGATGTTGAACAGGGTGGCGGAGAGCAGGCAGCATTGTCGTACTCCAACAGTGGTCTTGAACCATTCTCCGATGTTGTTTTTGAGGGAGACTGCACTGGTGGCGTTATCATACAGGTTGCATATCATGCATATAATGTTCTATAATTTTATTTGAATTTCCGGGTCGAACGGCCAAAAGTTCTTGTTTGGTAAATATGAAGAGATTGCGCCGCGTTTTTTCAACATGGCCGCCATCTTGGTTGACAAGACATGTGTAAAGGTCAAGAATAGTGTCAACCAAGATGGCGGCCGATAAAAAAAAAGAAGTGCAAAGACAAGTGTTGTAAAAAGGGCGTGGTTATGAAGAATGTGTTCTTTAAACTACTACCGAAAAATAGGAAAATAAGCAATTTTACAAGAAAATTTTATTTAAAAAAAAACAAAACACAAATATAGTGTGTTTTTACAAAAATTGTCTTTTTTTTAAATATAAATTACACATTTTTTTCAAAAAAAAATAAATTAATTGATTTTTGTCTTTTTCGGGACAAAATTGCCTATTTGTTTTTTAAATTTTACATTTTTTGGAACTTATTTTTGTTCTGGTTGAAGGCCTCATTTCTAAGCCTAACCTGAAATCTAAACTTGACCTGAACCCAGTGGCGTAGCGAGGATGTTTGGCGCCCGGGGACAAGATTCGCGCCCAGGGACAAGATCCATTTTCAGCGCCCGTTTTTCTTTTTTTCAACTCTCAAATCCATTATTTTCATCAATAAAATAATATCAAAGCACATTTTGGCGCCCCTAACCAGCTGGCACCCGGGGACATCTGTACCCCCCTGCCCCCCACCACGCTACGCCTCTGCCTGAACCCTAAATCTATCCCTAAACTTTACCTGAAAACTAAAAATCTCCGTTAACCTATCTTAAACCCTAAACCTATCCTTAAACCTAAACCTAACCCTAACCCTAAAAATAACCCTAAACCGCTAATCCTCAAGTCCCAAGTAAAAAAAAAACGTTTACGGCCACAATTCTACAGTGACACATTTTGTAAGACAACTGTAAAAATGACGGAAAACGACATTCATTCGGCGTATTAATATTAATAGTATAGTAATATATAAAAAAATAACTTTCCAAAAATAAACAAAGGGGAGTGAATCCGACACGGAATCTTATATAAACACGCACAAGACGTCATGACACCAATTCTCTGCCTTGACCTACTGGGTCTCATTGAGTCTAAAATTAAGGCATCAATCCACCAAAAGACACGTTTTCCCTAACATTTCCATACTCTGTAGTCCTAGGCATTATTTGACGATTTCTTGCACAGCCTATGAATTATTTGGCTAAGTCACGCAGCCACTACGAATTATTTTGCTAATTCATTTAGTCTCTACGATTTCTTTGACTAAATCCTTTAAGATGTATATATAGCTAAGTCACGCAGCCCCTGCGAATTATTTTGCTAATTCATTCAGTCTCTAAGATGTATTTGAGTAAAACCTTTAAGATTTATATATCTAAGACACTCGTTACATACGAATTATTTGACTTAGACATTTTTACCACATACGAATTTTTGGACTAAGTCACTCAACCCTAAGAATTATTTGACTTAGCCCCTCATCTCTTATGAATGGCGACTTCTAGTTTTGTTAGTGCCATTCAACGCTTATTGCAGAATTTCCAAAAGCAACAGTTATCATGACTTTAAAATCATGTTAATTTAGCCAAATATTTCAGAATTTTAAAATCATCTTGATTAAACGATAGTGCTGTGTTTATACTAGCCAACATTTGTTATATTTTCTATGTTTTTATTTACAACAATTAAACATTAATTAACTATTCCTAGTACACACTTTGTAGATGAGGTGGACTTTCAGCTTGCGTCCTGAACAAACTGTACACTAACACACACTCTCTGACTACAGTCCATGCGCATGCGCGCTGTTATACCTAGCTGGCTATTGGGACGGTCTAGTCCGCTAGTCCACAATAGCAAATAGCTCCTCACCCTCCTCATCCTCATGTCCCTTTGTCCTTGGACCGTTGGGGTGCCACAGATGACATGTGAACCATCCTCCTCCATTCCTCTCTGTCTTCAGCACTATGCACTGCATCGCCCAGTGTTAGTCCTGTCCACATTTTGATGTTATCCTCCCAGCTTTTTCTTTGTCTTCCTCTTCTTCTCAGCTCCTCTTGTGGTGCCCTGCAATATTTCTTTCGCAAGCCCTTGTTTTCTCAATTAAACAGTAGCTATCATGACTTTAAAATCATCTTTATGAAACGATAGCTATCATGACTTTAAAATCATCTTGTTTAAACAACATCGATCATGACTTTAATATCGTGTTAATTTTTAAAAAAAAACAGCTATGATGACTTTAAAATCATGTTTATTAAACAATAACTATCATGACTTTAAAATCATTGTCATTAAATCAATGTTATCAGAAAATTAAAATCATTTTTACTTTTTTTTATCTCAAAGCTCAAGTCTTTTGTGATAATAAAGTACTGGACAAAAGTTCAGTGCATGAAGGCGAGTCGTTTACCATCAGCTGCGGTCATCTTCACGTGAATGGGCCTGTTCTGAATGAGACGTATTTATCTTTGTATATATGCAGGGTAATTGATGGCAGGAAGTTAATTCTCCTGAGACTATTGCAGGCTTTTAAACCTCCCATTTTAATAGTAGGTTATGATCAATACGCTTTTTAAAAAAGAAATCGCATGACACATCTTATTTATTCGTAATGTATTATTCATCTTATTAATACGTAGTCACAGCTATGAATACGTAGTCACAGTTTTAGTAGATTCCTTTATCTACAGGTTAAATGAAATCAATTAATCTCTATCATTCATTAATATTGTATTATGTCTTTAAAAATACTTCATAAATCGGAACTTTGCGAATAATAAATCCAGCACTGTAAAATGTTTCATAAAGGTAATATTTGAATTTTTCCCCTAAATTAAAAGTGAACATAAAATGGATAAAACATTTGAACACTTGTATGTTACCAGAATTTTAATAAAGTCAATATTCTACACGTTGTTTGTGACCACGGAATGTCTCTTCCAGGGTTGTCTTCCCTAGACTGTAACCATGTCCTCCAGACATTAACTGTAGTGTTGCATCCTCTAGACTATAAAAAATGGCTTTAATGATCTATACATAAGAACTCTCTAAACTCAACAACTGTGTTGAAATCTAGACTGCTACTCTTACTGCAACAAGGCGGTTCTCTACTCTTAGGTTGTAACTCTGACATTGAGACTGTAACATTCTAAGGGTCATAAAATTCTAAGTGTCCAATCATTCTTAACATTACATGTGTCAATAATACTAAATATGATAACATTCTATTTGTCAATAATTCTTAGTTTTTATTTCCTTTTTTGTAGCATAACATTCTAAGTGTCATAATATTCAGTTTTTATTTAGACATGAAGAGTTTCAGAACCTATATGTATTAATTCCCTTTGATATTGCATTCCAAATGTGAATCAGTAAAAAATATTCAACTATCTTTAATTGCATGTCACTTAAGAAACAAGAAGACGGGAATTGTCACACAGCCTGCAGCTTATCTGATTACGCATTAAAAATAAGCTGCCAAATAACTGTAAAGCATGCACGGGTGGATCACCAGGGGGAATACCTATGTACTTTAACTATTGATCGTATCGATGATGATAATGAGCATATAAAGTACAGCGGCTCGTCCACACTCATTGTCCTGAAAGGTGAGTTCCTGTACGTCTTCTAGGCGGGTTTGTCTGTCTGTCTGTCTTTGTCTTACAGTGAAAATGTGTCATTTTTTTGTCTTAGAGTTAATGTCTGTCTATATTTGTCTTTCTGGATATTCGTGTCTGTATTTGTCTTATTGCGAATGTATATTTATATATACATATATGTGTGTGTATTTATATTAAAGATTATGTGTTTCATTATTCGCCTTCCTACGGATGTGTGTTTGTATGTTTAACTGTGAATAGGTTAAGTGATTTTTAAAATGCATCATAGCAAATATGTTATATGTGATTTTCTTTTACCATAAATCTATTATTTGTTTCTCTTTGTCTTAATAAGAATCCGTTATAATGGTTTGTGTTTATTTTCACTGAGAATCTTTTATTTTGTTCTGTTCCGATTACAATGTGAATCTAAATAATTGGTACTAATTATTTTTTGAGTATTTCAAAAATATTCTAGTCATCCCATCTTTCTATTTATGCATTGTTAATTTAATGTTTAATTAATTAATGTGTTAAAGAACGAAACATAAAAATCGCACATCTATACATAATTCTACTTTATTGCAGTTGCGATTTTTATGTCGAAAAACAGTTAAAATCTTTAGGTGTTATTGTTCATTAAATAAGTGTAAACCTAAATTCAAATAAATTGCCTCATATTTTATTTACAGAACCTATAACACCTTCTGAGTCGACTTCTATTTCAACCTTCTTAGGTATGTTTATAAGAGGCTTTTCTTATTTTATTGGAGTTTAAACATTGCTTATGCCACAATTGTTTTAACGTTTGGCGGAAAATTATATATATATATATATATATATATATATAAGTTAATGTGATGGCTTTGTCCTTTGTTTTACATACAATCCTTCAAGTTTTATTGTAAACATTTCATTGAACGTTTTTAATTGTCATTAGATCATAAATATTATCGGACAATATTTTATTTCTTTTTAATATCTACTTTCATGAGAACAATGTATATTTTTGAAAATGTTAATTACTAACACGTTATTACGGTATTAATTTTTGTTGAAATTTGATCAATTTAAAATAAAATATTATTCTTTTTTTTTAATTCTTGCATAATTTATTTCTTTAGTTCCAGAAACAAGCCATGAAATCATCAAAACAGAAAATCCGAAAGGTGATTACAAGACTCCATGTATTTTAATCATAATCCATAATCAGTACGGATTATACTTCTCATCGTGTCTTTTGCATAAATCAGTTCTCACAATCTTAGTTATGGATGCGTTTATAGAATTAAATAATTAAATTGAATGATTTCATTCATACTTTTTCCTTAAAACACTCGGTGAAGTAAAACTGTTAAATATAATGTCACTGGAGCATGCGTAAAATGAGTAAATTATTATAATGCGTTCGAGCACAAAAATATCAGTCTCATTTGTGCCGTTAGAAACGTGATCGAGATATTTGTATGTACTACTCTAGGGTTAGCACAGAGCGGTTCTTGTTTAAGATAAGGCCCAAGTTAAATTTCAAAACAAGAAGACAAGACTACTTTCTAGTTGATGAAATTAACGGTTAACAATTTATTTCAGAAGTCACCACCGAAGAAAGATCAACAGCGACCAGCAATTTCGGCCAAATAATTCCCTCAGCCCTGTGTCTCATGCTGATATCTTGGTCTCAAAAATGGCAAGGCAATCTGATTGCTGGCTGAATATACCCGTCAAGGAAACGATATGGTTCTTGACTTGGAATATTCTTATTTTGAACTGTTTAATATTAAACATCAAACCAAAATCAGATTTACATGACTTTTCGTGAACAGTTTTTTTATTTTTTAAAAACTGAATTACAATTGAAAGAAAAAGAAATAATATCTACTAAGCAATACATATGGCGTTTATTTTTTCCAAATTTATTTTGAAATTTACTATTTGATCACAGAATGTAACATAGTTCTTTTAACAATTTTCTTTTAATAAGACTAAACGTACACTATATTGTATGATAATTGAATACAATAAAAAGCATTAAGAAAAATAACATTTGTTGTTAATGTAATATTTGTCTGTGCATATATGTTTGCCGAACAGCTGTTTTTACTCAAGTACATACAATTTAAATAATGATTTTTTTAAAATATGTATTAAAGGGCATGAAAGCTATAAAATATGTTTAAATTTATGCTAATAACTAAACGTACACAAATTTCTACCAAAAAAAAAGTGACTAGTGATAATGATAATAATAATTTCTAATTTCTAATACAGTAATATTTCTAATTCAACATGTTCTGTAATGTCACAAAAAATAAAAATTAGCTTATGATGTGGCTTCTGATGTTCACATATTTTGGCACATGTCGCTGTCGTTGTCTATGTTTTCCCTCTCTCTGTCTCTCTCCTTCTTTCTCTCTTCCTCTCTCTCACTCTCTCTCTCACTCTCTCTCTCTCTCTCTCTGTCTTTCCCTTTCTTTCTCTCTTCCGCTCTCTCACTCTCCCGCTCTCTCTCTCTCTCTCTCTCTCTGTATAAATCTCTCTCTGTCTCTCTGAACCGGATTTAAATTTTAAAGTGTTTGAAATTATGCCACTTACTGATTTTCTGATATTTCTAGTAGCGAAATGTATTCCTGACCCAGACAGCCATTGACACTAGCGGACATCTCATGACATGTAGATTTAACATAGCTTGTTATATGCCCTTCTATCTTGTTTTTTCTTGGCGCGACGTTGAATGCGTTCCAAGGCAGCAGCTGAGTCAACCAAGGATGCGTTTTAAAACCAAATATTTTCGTTAATTTTCTTAACGATTCTTTGGTTTGGCTTCAAGGACTGTGTGGACACAGGGTGCTTCCAAACAGATCTAATGGTTGGCTGTTCTATATCTCCTGCCACCCTGCAAATATTATTGTTGTCATTGGAATCAAGTCTATTTGAATAGGTTCAGCACGATAAGTTGGCAAGAATAAATGTTTTTCTAATTTAGAAAAATTTGCGTTATCGATTCACCAAGTTTTATCGCAATCGGATGAATGGTATAGAAATGCAAATTATAATTATATAAATAATAAAAGGGTGGGAAAACAAAGTTAGGGCCCCCGGCCACAAACAGAATATTGTAGAACTGTTGTATTACTTCAGAAACCTACTTATTATGTCACACACACAATTTAATGTCACTATTTGTTTTTTATTAAAAATCCATCCATCCATGTATTGGCTCTGTTTGAAATTATAGTTGAATAGATTATATAGGAAAAGGCGAACATAGGGCCCTTGGCTTAAAATTGAATATTTTAAAACGGTTGTAATAATTTTGAAACCCTTGCGGGCGATTGCAAAACATCTCACTAAAGTTTTATCGCATTCTAGAAAAGGTATAGGAGCTCATACGGAGATTTTTTTAAACAGTGTTAATATAAGGAAAAAAACGAATTAAGGGCCAACGGCTCAAAAGGGAAATTTTATAAGGGCTGTAATGACTCATGGTTAAATTCATGGTTATGTGAACAACAACTCACAAAAGTTGTGTCGCAATCGCATGAAGGGAGTAGTAACGCATACGAAACATACATACATACACACAGACATTTATTTATTTATTTAAGCATAGATGTTATCTCTAAGATTCTATGGATTCTTCAATGTGAGCATTCAAAAAAAGGGGAAGAGTTGTTTTTCTTGCAATTTACAAAATGTTTCCCTGTTATATATATATATATATATATATATATATATATATATATATATATATATATATATATATAGACACCAAGAGAAAAAACGGGAGAGTCACATTTTTTTTTTTTATATATATATATATATATATATATATATATATATATATATATATATATACATATGAAGACCACAAGGGAAAAAACGGCAGAGTCACATTTTTGTTGTTTTGAGATATTCGATTTTTAAAGTTCAAAACCATGCAGATTAAAAATGTGTAAACAAAATTTAATTTTTAAAATGCATTTCACAAGAGTGTCCATTTCCCTGAGATATTAAATAGATAAAGTAATTCAAACTTGAATATAACATGATTTATTTCATTATAGTAGAGAGTGGGGTCAAAATGGACTCTGCCGTTTTTTCCCTTGTAGTAATTTATCAAGGTTTGATCATTGATAAATATCTATTTAAAACTATTTTTATAAGTAAATTTTCACATTTTGGGGTCACTGGCAAATTACGTCACGCTTAGAGGGGGTGGGTTGAGAATATGCGACACTTTGTGACAGGGGGAAAAGGGGGGGGGGGTCAAAAATTGTGACGTCACTTTTTTTTCATCTCTAAAAGTTTATAATTCTTTAAAAAAAATCATAATTTAATTAATTTTTAAAACATTAATTTGAGGTCAACTTTGCCTCAGGTATTATAGTATGGTACCATGAAACTCGGTTTTCTAGTAATACTACATCTTATCATTATGGCAGTGGTTCTCAACCTTTCTAATGCCGCGACCCTTGAATGCAATTCCTCATATTGTGGTGACCCTCAACCATAAAATTGTTTTCGTTAGTACTTCATAACTGTAGAGGATATGCATTTGCCGATTGTCTTATGTGACACCTTTAAAAGAGTCATTCGACCCATAAAGGGGTCGCCACCCACAGGTTTAGAACTGCTGCATTATGGGAAAATGTTGAAGAATAAAATAATATCTTAGTTTAGTTATGAAAATTTTATGTATGTTTTGAATTTTTTTAGGTGATGTGACAAGGGGGGAGGGGGAGAATTTGTGACATTTCGTGACAAGGGGAGGGGGTGTCTAAAAAGTTTATTTTTAACGTGATGTAATTTACGAATGACCCTGCCTTAGGCAAATTATTTTTGTTTAAACTATTAATATAAGAATATGGATCATGCCTATAACTATCATTAAAAAAATATATTATTTAGAATTTAACCTGAAAATCAGATTTAAAATCATACTTTCTGAGTTTCTGATGTGCTTCTTACAATTTTGGCCCATTTTTTTTTTTTTTCATTAGCAGTAGCTGTAACTGTATGAACTTAAGTTTAAGAGTAAAGTCAGTAAAGAGTAACAGACCGAGATAGCAAGACAGAAACTCGAAGATAAAGAGTTCAGGGGGAGTCAGACACAGAGTTAGAGCGACAGGGCTAGAGTTATACAAACTAACTGAGATAGACTGACAGGGGGAGACACAGACATGCAACAAACAGTGATAGACTAGACTTGACTAGAGCGACAGCGAAAGAGACGAGACGGAGACACACATTAATTAACTGAACATAACAAAACAAGGGTAAAATACGATTTAAAAATACAAATTTTATTTTATTTTAATGTTTTAATTTCAATTTATCGTGTTTATGTTAATTTGTTTTGTTTTCTTGTGGTAGGAAATTTAAAAAATCCAGGTTTGTCAGTTAACTTTTTCGTCTTTTTGTCGGTCAGCTGAGCGAATCGGTCGCCATCTTTAAATTTTGTTTACAATATAGCTATCTCTCATTGGACCTTTAAATCACGTGACT